TTCTTTTTGAGGTGAAGAAAATGGTCTAACATTGATTGTGGTGATGGTTGCACATTTCTGAAAAAATAATAACCATTGAGTCACACATTGTAAATTGGCTAATTGTATGGTATGTGAATTATTTCTCCCTAAACCCTTACAAGAGAATACAGTGAGGACCACACAGAACATGTCATCTAGACTGCCAAGTTCAAGTTCTCTGCATAGTAGGTCTGGAAAGACTTCCCTCAAGATTACCTCCACCTCCCCCCCCCAAAAAAAAAACCCAGAGGAAACAAGAGACAGAGTGCTCTGCTTGTTCTGAAGTTACACATTCACTCATTGTCAGAAGCAAGGCCAGACTTGTCTCTTGACCTTGACCTCAAGGTCATGCTGACTCCATTCCAAGCCTATTTTTCAAGGGAACCAGAACTGTGAGAAGCCAGCATTATGAACAGCTGGATGCACTTTCTTTTCTTGCCCACATCTTACAAAGGTCCCCAGAAAACTTCTTGAAGAGAACAATACGGTTAATAAAAAAAATGGATTCTTCTTAAGGAAGGAAAGAGGCATAATACTTCCTCGAGTCTTTTTTTTTCTTTTTCCCCAATAGCATGGGAGGGACTGTGTGTTCCAGAGAACACTTACTCTGTGTGTCCATGAGTCTCTTAAACTTAAATCATCAATATGTTGTTTGTGCAAGAATCATTTGATGTCCAAGAAACCCCGTGGGCCTCTTAAGGATTTAAAAAAAAATCTTTTTTTTTTATTTGAACCAGAAGGCTGAACTTTGCCAAGAGCAAATGGAACTTAGATATCAAAAGGTCTGAATTCAGTTTTCACTGAATACAAAGGGTGAGTAGATGCTGAAGGGAGCCAAATGCATTCTCCCACCCTTAATTTACAGTACTTTGTGTTGGCAGGCTCCATGATTCTGAAAGTTGGCTCTCTTCTCTCATTCCTCTCTAGGGTGTAACCACAACCCTATCTTTTAGTTAACTTTACAAAAATTAAAGCCATATTATAACAATTTATGAGAGCCTCGCTCATCACTGCTCCTATAACTATCAATTTTATTAGAATAAATTGAAATGCTTGAGCAGGTTATAACTCTCCTCTGTAGTTGTAATTTTGTTTGATCATCTACAAGAATTTCTTTTCTTTTTTCTTTTTCACTCTTCTCATGTGTGAGTTTACTGAAGGGACGTTGGCACAGTCTCCTTCCCAATAAACGATCAGCCAGTAGTTACCAACTTGAATCCTGGAGGATCACCATTGGTTACAGTACAGATTCTCTCACTAACCTTGGAAGGAGACAGGGTCAGAGAAATGACTAGCATTTTTCATTTTCTCCTTTCTTCCCTCCTATCCTTTCTGTTCCTCCTCCCTTCTTTCTCTTTCTCTCTGTCTCTTTCTTCTTTCCTTTCTTTCTTTCAACAAGTCTTCCAGTATAGCTCAGGCTGGCCCTGGTCTTGAGCTCATGATTCACCTGCCTCCATCTCTTGAGTGCTGAGATTACAGGCATGACCGACTATAATTGGCCTTCTTTTTATTTTCTTTTGGTTTTATATAATAAGAAGTCTTCTGGGTTTAGTCCCTAGCTCAGGGTGGGAGGGGTTGGGGGAAGAAAGGAAAGAGAGAGGAAGGAAGGAAGGAAAGTAGGAAGGTTAAATCCCAATTTCATCCCATAACTTCAAGATAAACACTGCTAGGATTTTTTTTTGATCACTTTCCTTTTATTCTTAAAATCTGGATCAGTATATGTATAAATCTTTATCTACATTATTATAATAATCTACCTTTTCCATTCATTAGGTCATAATTATCTATATTAATGAGTTAAAATTACTCACATATAACATTCAGTTGAACAGAAAATTGCTTAAATGACTCGGTAAGGTTTTTGATCGCAAGCAACAGAAAACCTGTGTCAAACTGACTTAAACACGAAGGGAATTTTTTGACAGACATTTGAAAAGTCCAGTGGGAGATCGGGTTGAAGGCACAGCAGGGTTCAGGTATCAGATCGTGTTGTGAGGCCTGCTTCCCTCCTCTTGCTTTGTTCTGCTTCTGATGCTTCTGCACCATTCACCTGCCATATATTAGAGGCATCAATTCCAGAGTACCTGCATGCAGGCTCTTGCTGACAGGACAGATCAAGGCCCTGCTCCAGCACTTGCCATGAAAATGTCACTGCATTGCCCTGGTCCACAGCAATCTCTGAGCCCATCACTGTGGCTTCTCCCTGGCTACCATAGCATTCTCTGGGTTGCAAACGTTTCATCATGCCATATAGACTGACAAAGGGGAAAAGAAGAAAAGTTGGGCTCCAAAGAAATACAATGGTTATCAGGAGAATGAGTGAATAATAAGTGGTCAAAATAACCGATGCCTTAAGAAACAAGACAATGTCTCACAATTTTTGAGAACAAAGTGTCAACAGAATTAGGAGGGAGGATCTCATCCATGCTTTGTTTCTATCTTTTTTTTGTTTTTATTTTTGGCAATCTTTGGTGTTTCTTGTCTTGAGGATGTTATCACTCAGATATCTGCCTTCATGTTCATATGGCATGCTTCCTCTGAGCAGGGTGTGTCCAAATTTCTTTTTGTAAAAATAAGGACATTAGTCATATTGGAGTAGGAACCTAGCCTGCTTCAATATGATGTCATTTTAATTAATGACATATGCAAACACCTTGTTTCCAAGTGAGATCACATTCTGAGGCTCTAGAGCTTAAGGCTTCAATATATGGATTTGTGGGGATCATAAATCAACCTAGCATGTTTTCACATATTTAATGTTTCTGCTTGCATTAAAAAAATTCATCCAATCTGAGTTCAAATGCTATGAAGAGCTACTTCCCTCTTTCAGCCAGGAAGGTAGGGGGTTGGGTGAGGCCAACTCAGGGGGCTCATGTATAATTTCATGTTTTATTATGTGGGATCTAAGGATCCATCCTGCTACCTGAGTATACATCAGTTTCACCCTTTAGGAGCTCAAAGACTTGGGAAAGAGACTTGATCTTTGCAAACATCAGGCCCCTCAAACAGCAAAATAAGGACCATAGTCCTTTCCTAGTTTGTTTTGGGCTAGGTTCAGAGTGCTCAGTAAATGTCAATCCATGTTACTATTTTACATCTTCAAAGACAGGAGGATTTCAGAGTACAAAAAACCAGTCAGGAACCCTTATTTCTCTCATACCATAATGATAATTCAGCTGAAGTTCACTCTAAGGAACTTCAAGAGCAGGAATGGGGCTTGACTATCTTGCAAACAGGAATTCACGTCCAGTTCTGGGAACACCAAGTGCTTTTCTCTGTCCTAAAGCCCATGACATAGATTCTCAGCCAACTCTTTTCCTAGGCAACATGATTATGAAATACTTGCTCCCTTTGTCTCTTTCTGGTACCTTTTTTGAAATCACTTGATCTTTCCCACCAGATGTAGGTGGGAACCAGTCATTTTATTTACAGTCCTTTTCTTTGTGTCTCCATCAACTTGGGGAAATGGAATAGATGTTTTTGCTGTAGCACATGCTCTGCTCTTTCGTAGTTTGTTAAAGTGCTTATTGAATATTAACTAGACCTTTGACTTCTTGCAGGTAGTAGAACCTATTTGATACAGGTGTATTAGGCATTAGCTAAGGTCAATGCAGAAGGAGGTGCAGATCACACTTTAAAATTGTGGTCATTTTCATTTAGTACCAGACATTGTTCTAAGCAAACAGAGATATAACAATGAACAACAGAGTCACTGACCCTGATCTGGAGGAGTGTAAATTCTGGTGACACTCATTCCCACATAATATATAAGAGAACTTACTAAATGTCAGATATTATTCACCAAACAGAAACAATTGTGTGTGTGTGTGTGTGGTGGAAAGAAAGAGAACAGAATATAATACACATATTTAAAAATCTTGTTAAAAGGTGATAAATGCTTTGGAAAAAAATAGAGCACAGTTAGGAGATTAAGAGTGTCAGAAGGGATATATAGGAATGGTTAGGGGTAAGTTCATGAGAAGGGGAGACAAGAAGGAAAATGAGAAAAAGAAGCTGTGTATTGGGGAAAAGCAAGCCAGAAGCCCTGGGGCATGAGTGGGCACAGCTTTTTCCTTACCAGGATTTGAACTCAGGGACTCTCACTTGCTAGGACGATGCTCTACATTTGAGCCACTCTGCCAAGCCTCCCAGCTTTTTTCCAAGGATGGCAAGGAGCCTAGCTGGAGTAGAATGAGCAAGGTTTTGAGGTTGTGGGAGATGAAATGGAGCTTGTTGTCTCTTTTGTGAAATGAGAAACCACTTGAAAGGGCCGAGTGGAAAAGTGGTAACTTGATCCTGGGCGCCAAAGGGTGGGTCTGGAAGCTGGGTCCAGGGGAGGCTGTTCAGGTATAGGTTGCACAGGTGAGTGAGGCTGTGGCCACACTCACTAGGGTGTGTGTGTGTGTGTAAATGGAAAGCTATTTGAAGACAGCCGACAGGGGAGATGAGGTGAGAGAGGCCAAGATGTTTTTGGCCTTGAAGAGCAGGGTGGCCCTGGATTGGGCCGGTGAAGCCCCTTTGGAGCGCGTTCTTCGGGGTATGGTGAAGAGCTGTCCGCACACGGTGACCTCGAGGCCACCCAAGGCAAATAAGGCCTCGGGGTGAGCGCAGTGTCAGCGACTCCAGAAGTGGCCTGGCCCCCGCTCTCCGCCGGCCCGAAGGCCGCACCGGGGAGGCCCCAACAGCCCCTTGGAGCCTCCAGCCTTCCTCTCCGCGGGAAATGAAAATGACGACGACGCGACGCTCCCGCACGCACAGCGTCCCCAGCCTAACTCCGCACCGCCCACTCAGGGGTGTGGGCGGGGCCCCACGCCCCGGAGGACCGCCCAGGACCGCGGACCACGCCCCTCCGCGGCGTGGCCAGGGCGATGGGCGTGGCAGTTGCGTGAGCACGCCACAGAGAGGGGCGTGGCCGACCCTGTGCGCGCGGCGGCGGGTCTGCTCGCGCACCTCCCTCCTTCCTGCCTTTTTTTTTTTTCTTTTCCCGGGGCTGATCAGCTGGTCTGCGCTGCCCTGACGTGGGCCGGCGCACGTCACCGCCGAATGGCAGCCTCCAGAAAGCCACCGCGAGTGAGGTGAGGGGAAGCAGGTGTCCGCGTCTGCGAGGCCGCCCAGCCCAGACGCGCGGGTGGTACCTGGAAGGCTGAGACTGAGCGGGTGAGGAGCCGAGGCCCTGTCGTCGGGCGAGGGCCGGAGGTGACCGACCCCCCCTCCCCCTCATTGGGAGTCAGGGACCCCGCCGTGCAGCCCGGCCGGATCCAGTCCGTTTTCGGCCGGGCCGGCGAGGCCCGGGGGCCGCCCGAGCCGGTCCAGGCGCGCGTGTGGCGGGAGGAACCGCAGCGCTCGACCCGCGGCGCGCTCGGCCCCGAGGTGCGCTCGCGGTCACCGACCCCGGCCCCGCGGGAAGGCCCCGCTCGTGGCAGGAAGTTGGTCTCTGTTGGGCCCTCCCCGGGTACCGGGAGGTGGGTGGGCTCCTGCCCTCGCCTGCAGACGTCCCTCCCCACCCAAATGGAAGAATGCTCAGGAACATCCCGCCGTTAGCTTGCCCTGGCTTCTCTTTGGACACAGGGACGTGCGAAGGATCACCTCGTGTGAAACGTGTCTTGCGTTTATTCGCACCCCGCAACTGGGGAATACTTATCAGTGCATCCATCCAAGTGGGAGACGAAGAGAAAGGATCGAAGTTCACAAAGCCTAGAATTAAAACTCAGACCATCCACAGGGGGTCGGGGCCCGGTCACCCCACCTTCGAAGACCAGTTAGTTGAGGCTTGAAAGGAACACATTAAGCAGCATGGCATGGCTTACTTGCTGAATCCAGACCCTGGTGTGTGCTATGTTTCCTGAGTGGATAGATCTCAGGCCTACCCTTACCTGGACTTGCCCTTGTATACCACACGTTAGAGGTGAGCAGAGACCCAGACCTACACTGTGGAAGGAGCTTTCCGTAAGGTAGATGTTTGAGAGGGAGTCGGGCAAGTGGATAATGAGGGATGATGATGACTTAGGCTCTAGGCTGTGAGGAAACCTTTGAGGACCACGGTGGCCTTTGCTAGGCCGGATCACAATATTTGTGGCAGAAGGGTCTTTGAACATAGATGGTAGGCTAAGAGAGGGAAGCCTTTTGCCTCAGATGTCTTCCAGAGCCATAGAAGTGAGGGTTTCTTTCAGTTTAGGGTCTGGAAACTGAACTCAAGTGGACTTAGGTAAAATTAGACTGGGATAGTTTCTAGTGATGCTGAAACCAGAAGCACCGATATTGGCAGGAGACTTTCCCTCTGTTTTATATCTTGACTGATTTTAGCCTGGCTTTATACCCAGGCAGACTTTCTTGTTGTGGCATGCGATGATATTTGTAGGCTGACAGCTCCAGCAGAAATGTTTGGAGAAGTCCTAGATCTGATTGCCATTGGACTGACTTGATTCTTATTTCTATCCTTGAAGCATCATTGTGGCCAGAGGAGTGGATTGACCAAGCTTACATCTCAGAACATGGTGGGCAAGTGACTGATGCTCATTCCAACCCCTTGGACTGAAATGGAGAAGGGGACATTTTCAAAAAGAAAATCTGAGTGCTCATGAAGAGAGATACCTTGTCCCCCAAACTTGTTCTGGTTTAACCTTTTTCTCATCACTTAGGCATGATTGAGCATCTAGGTCTTTCTTTTTTTAGACAGAATCTCACTATCCACGTAGGCTGGCCTTCAACTCGCAATTCCAAGTGCTGTACCTGCTATACTGTACCACCAAATTCAGCTTGATCCTTATTTTGCTCCATCTTGAACACTAGACATACATGATTCTTCTCATGGACTGGGGATACTAGTGGGGGTAGATACCTGGAAACTTACTGGGAGTTCTTTTCAGAGAGGGAGACAAATGTACAGTTTTTAGTAGCTCATCTATAGGCAAGTAGTATACACATTGAACAGGAGTAGTTCTATTTCTTTCCCATTACCCAACTTGTAGCCATTTGACTTGGAGAAGAAGGTGTAGAAATTGGAAGACTTGGAAACTCTAGTTCTAGCATTGTCACTAAATAACTGTGAGTCTTTAGGCAAGTCATTTGATCTTTCTGTTTCTTTGTCTAGAGGAGGGAGTTGAGTTATGTGGTCCCTTAGGTATATTCTCTTAGCTCTCACATTTAATGGTAGTCCTGTTTTTACAGACAGCTTGTGATTATTTAAGTGAAGACTTCACAGAGAATATGTCTGTCAAAAACTGAAGGATGGATGTGTTTTGAACTCTACAGAAACTAAGGTATGACAGGAGCAGGGCAGCTGTACTGTTCAGGTGCTTATGACGCCTGGGATCCTCCTGATAGAGAGTAGAGGTGGTGATGCTAACCTAGACAGTTTGAACTCACCTGTCAGATCTGGTTTCTGGTCTGGGCTTTGCAGGTACCCAGATATGTGGTCTGTAGGAGTTATTTTGTTTCTTCTATAAATTAGTGAACAGGACTGCCTCTGAATAACTTGCCCCTCAAGTCCTATGTGGGAGAAGCAGAGGGGATACTGACATCCTTCACTCACTGTTACATAAACTTACATATGAAGGTATGAGAAACTGGTTGAGAATTGATTTGTATCCTTATCTAAGATAGGTGTCATTGTATCATATATGATACAATTCCTGTATTGTACAGTATTGTACACTGAGTTGTATAACAATCATCATAAGCTATTTAGGGCAATTTCCTTGCCCTCCAAATCTTTTTTTTTTTTGGTTGGTTGTGGGTCTTGAACTCAGGGCCTGGACACTGTCCCTGAGTTCTTTTTGCTCAAGGGTAATACTCTACTATTTTGAGCCACAACTACTTCCAGCTTTTTTTTTTTTTCTTGTGGGATTTTAACTGAGGGCCTTAGGCTTGAGCAACACTTCCATTCTTTTTTTGTTTTTCCCAACTCTTTCACCCATGGGTATGTGTCGTTTTCCACAACCTCAGCCCTTGACAGCCACCATTCTTCTTCCCATCTCTGTAGGTTTGTCTATTTTGTATATTTTATACAAATGGAATCATTTACTAGCTAGTCTTTTTGTGATAGGCTTTTCCCCCCTTTGATATAATATTTTCGAGGTTTACCTATTTTTGTATGAATTTTTATTGTCAAATAATATTACATTGTATGGGTAGAGTTTTATTTATCCATTCAGCAGTTGGGGATTTGGTTTCTTTCTACTTTTGGCTATTACATATAATTAAGGTATAGACATTTACATAAAATTTCTTTTTGTGGTGTTAGGAATCCAATTAAATGCCCCAAGCATATAGGGAAGTGCTCCTTCATTGATCCTACCTCCTTATTGCTGTGTGGATTTTGATGAGGATATATATTTTTAGTTTTCTTCAGTGTATACCCAGGAATGAAATTGCCTGGGTTGGATACTAACCCTTTAATGTCTTAAGCAATTGTTAGATCATTTTCCAGAGCCACGCATACCACCATTTTACATTTCCACCTTCAGTACTTGAGGGTCTGCATTTTCCACATCCTTACACATACTTGTTATTGTCTATTTCTTGATTTTTACCTTCTTAGAGGCTATAAAGTGATATCATTTTGATTTTTGATTTGCAGTTCTGTAATGACATGCTGAACATCTTTTATGTGCTTGGCTATTTATATATCTTCATTGGAGAAATGTTAATTCAGATTTGTTTCCCATTTCAAAGTTAGGTTGTATCTTTTTGTTATGGAATTGTAATATATTTCAGATATGGAATCTAGATATAATTTTATACATTATATCTATATTCTAGATTTAGATTCCAGCAAATTTTCAAGTTATTCTGTTTGTGGATTGTTCTACTTTTTTTCATGGTATCTTCTGAAACGCAGAGCTGGTACTGGATCTTGGACTCAGTGCCTGGGCACTGTCCCTTAGCTTTTTGGCTCAAGGCTGGCTATCACTTGAACACTCACAGGGTTTCCTGTCCTGCCTGGCTTTCAACTTCAATCCTCAGATATTAGCCTCCTGAGTAGCTAGGATTACAGGCCCTCATCACTTAGCGCTATGTCCTGTATTCTTTTTTCTTTTTCCCTCCCTCCTTCCCCCCTCCCTCCTTCTGTCCTTCCGTCCTTCCTCCTTCCTTCCTTCCTTCCTTCCTTCCTTCCTTCCTTCCTTCCTCTTTTCTTTCCTTTCCTTTTCTTTTGTTGTTGGCTGTGTTGAACTTTGGGCCTGGGCGATGTCCCTGATCTCTTCATCTCAAGGCTAGTGCTCTACCACTGTAAGCCACAGTACCACTATTGGTTTTCTTACGGTTAATTGGAGATAAGAGTCATGGACTTTCCTGCCTGGGCTGGCTTTGAACCAATCAGATCTCAGCCTCCTGAGTAGTTAGGATTATAGGTGTGAGCCACTGGCACCCAGCTCTTTTTTCTTTTTTCTTTTTCCTTTTCTCTCTCTCTCTTTCTTTTTTTGGTTCCCATTCTGGGGCTTGAACTCTAGGCCTGAGTGCTGTCCTTGAGCTTTTTTATTCAAGGCTAGTACTCTACCACTTGAGTCACAAATACATTTCTAGCTATTTGATGCTTAATTGGAGAGTCCCATGGGCTTTCCTACCTAGGCTAGCTTTGAACTGTGACCTTCAGATCTCAGCTTCTTGAGTAGTTAAGATTATAGGTGTGAGCCACTGGTACTTGGCTATATCTTATATTCTTGATGAACTCATTTTTTTTTGTGTGTGTATGCGTATGTGTGTGTATGTGAAGCCTTGAGGATTTTTTGTATTCAAGACAATGTTATTTGCAAATAGTTTCATTTCTTTTCCAATCCAGATACATTTTGTTACAGTTCTTGCCTAATTATCCTGGATAGAACATCAAGTACAATGTTCAATAGGAGTGGAAAGATTAGTCAGCCCTATCTTGGTCTGAGAAAGCTGTTAGTCTGTCAATATCATCAGGGCCTTGTGTTTGCTAGGCACCTGCGCTTTCACTTGAACCATATCCCCAGGTCTTTTTTTTTTTTTTTGGTCGGTCATCGGGCCTGAACTCTGGGCCTGGGCGCTGTCCCTCAGCTCTTCAGGTCAAGACTAGCACTCTACCACTTGAGCCACAGTGCCACTTCTGGCTTTTTCTGCTTATGTGGTGCTGAGGAATTGAACCCAGGGCCTTGGCATGCAGGACAAGCACTCTACCACTGAGCCACTTTCCCAGCCCCTGTCCCCAGGTCTTTTAGTTATTTTTCAGGTAGGATCTTGCGTGTTTGTCTAGGACTGGTTTCAGACAACCATAGCTTCCTTTGTAATTGGGATAACTGGCAGGCACTACCATGCCTGGTTATTGACATGGGATCTTGAGATGTTTTTGCTTGGACTAGCCTTGTGCTGTCTGCTGAGTGGTAGTGGGTGTTAAATGCTTTTTTTCATGTCTGCTGAGAGAATGGTGTAGTTTTTGTTCTTTATTCTGTATATATAATGTCTTCCATTAATTGACTTTTGATAGGTTGAACTAACTTTACATTCTTGGCCACTTTGCAATGGTGTATGATTCTTTTTATATTATCACTAATTTCAGTTTGCTCGTATTTTGTTGAAGGGATTTTCATTTGTATTATGAGGTATTGGGATGTCTAAACTTTTTTTTCCCCTTCAGTGCTGGGAATCAAACTTAGGGCCTTATTTTCTCCCATAGCCCAGTGTTTTACTTTTTTTTTTTTTTTTTAAATGAAAGAACATGTGCTTTCCCCAGCTAATTACATCTTACTCAGTCTGGTAAGTAGCAGCCAATACTAGAGCAGGCTTACAGTGATTGGTAAAATCCAGTCTTCTGGTTCTGGCTTTGTGGTGGATTGAGCTAATGTAAACCTAACTAACATGTAAAAATGTGGTTAAGGTTTTTACGTAGTTACGTTATGGCTGTGTAAAATGTAAAACCTATGACTTAGTTCGATTTAATCTAACTGCTGATGACCACCTCATGACACTACACACTGTGTTGGCCGCCTTACTTTTCCTCCACTACAGGCACACACACTTCTACCTTGTGCCCTTTGTACTTACTGTTTTCTTTTCCTGGCACATTCTTCTTCTATAAATGAGGATGCCCCTCTCAACGTTGTTTTCAAGTATGTGTTAAAATGCTGCGTGTTATCAGAGAGATCTCCTCTGGATACTTCAGTATCTCCTAGTCACCCTCTTTCCCTTGCCCTGCTTTCCTTTTCTCACAGAAAAAATTGCTTCCCCTCTTTTCCTCCATCTAGTCTCCCACTCCTATTCCACCCTATTTACATGTTTTGAAATAAGGTATATTATTGGTTTTGTTCACGGCTGTCTCTGAGAGCCTGGGTGATAGAAGATTCTCAATAAATATTTGAGTAAACCTGAAAGACAACCCTCAGGTCCCAGAAATTTAGAGAGAATTTAAAGCCTGAGTGGTAAGCTGGTAAACTGAATCTTGAAAATTTATCTAACCCAAACAGAGAGCTTCATGGCTGGAGTCCAGGGTATCAGGCGTCCCTAAGTGGGGATAAGAAGAGACTTGTGTACAAATCTTCTAGCTAAGAAATTAATGTGAATATTGAGCAGTGACAGTAATGCTTATATGAACCAGGGACACATTTATTCACATAGGCAGTCTTTACTGAAGACCTCTTTCCTTCTTTCCTTTTTCCTTCCCTCTTTGTCCCTCTCTTACCTCCTTCTTGTATTATTTTCCTCCCTCTATACACTCCCCTCTCTCTTTTCTTCTTTTTTCTTTGATACAGGGTTTCATTCATAGAGCACAGCCTGGCCCTGAACTCACAGCCCTCCTTGCCTCAGCCTCTGGAGTACTAGAACCACAGGTACAGAATAAAGCAAGCACATGGAGTGGGTTATCTCAGATTGAGCAAGCATGAGGATTGCTAGCCCAAATGGAAAGTCAGAAAGGAATTATGAGGGCCTAAAATGATTCAGTTGACAGAGAAGGAATGGAAGCCAGAATGAAAGAACAGGACAACACAAATTAAAAATAAGTACTTGTGAAAAATACAATCACTGAAAATAAAATCTTTTTAGTTTACCTATAAAGAGATTAGACACAATTGAACACAATTCATAAAGTGGAAACTAGGGCTGAGGCTCACCTGTCATGGGGATGTTTTATACCTTCAAGTTGGATTTCGTCCATCACTGATAGAGGGGTGAGAGTTCTTCTGATTCATGGACAAAACTGCTAAGATAAGTTGATGCCTTCTTTGAGTCTTGCCACACTTCCTGTGGTCAAAGTCTTTAACTTCCTCTTCTTTCTCTTTGTAAGGGCGAATCACCAAGATTTTCAGCTGCAAAATTTAAGAATAATTGAATCTAACGAGGTGACATCATCAGGAGACACAGGTGTGGAAACAGGTAATAATAATTTTACCTATAAATTAGACAAGATTTTTGGCCACTGTGCCCATGAATGAGAAGAAATGGTAAGGGATTAGCAATTAGTTGATCAAAGTTGGGGTAGGATCTGGAAATCACTTTGTCCTTTGGCTCTCTGGGTGGTTATTTAATTCATATATATATATATATATATATATATCACTTTTTAGTAATAAGTAATAAGTTAGTTAAGTAATGTTAGTTAAAAAGTAATAAGTTAGAAAGTGATAAATATATACATATATATTTGCAATTTCTATTTGTGTGGAGACAGGTGGGGATAGTGAGGTAGAGATAGATTATTATTAAAATGTATATTCTAGAACTTCGAATCTGTCTTTTATCTCTAACATAGTTCCTTTTTGATCATGTTAGAAATTAGCTTTCAATCTTTCATCAGGTTCTCAAGTGAGAAAATACATTATTATGCTTTATAAATTGAATGTTCATTTAGGAAAACCATCTTGAAATCATCTCTCCTCCCTAGAACTTGTTAGTTGTGATTCTATTGTTAGAAACCTGAATTCTGAAAAGTGGTATATTACTCTATTTTGGTCCCAAGTAAGTTAATGCTTTTCTATGGACATATAGGATAGCCATCCTGTTAACTTTTTTCAGACTGAAAAATTGATCCTTTAAAAAGTGTGCAAGAAACCATCATTAGTTTCCCTTTGGAATAGCAGTGCTATTACTTTATTCAATTTTAGGTAATATTTTTTTCTTTAAAAATGTATATGTAGCCAGCATATTTTGGACCATAATAGGAAGTAGGAAAGGAAGGAAGAATAAGCAGGAAAAAAGAGGAAGTAAGAAAGGGGGGAAAAAGGATAGAGTCATCAATATAGAGTGCAAAAGAACTTCTCCTTATATTAGGACTATTATTAGTTATTTCAAGGACTTATCAGTTCAGTTTTCTGAGGTTGTAGATGTCAGCTGGCCACTGGAGCCCATGTGATTTGATTCTATTGATTTTAGAATGCTCTAATAGTAAGTCTTCTAGGTAATATGCATGGACTTGAGAGTTGGACAGACCTTGGGTCCTGGTTCCTGATAATCCAGCAGACTTGGTTAACTTATTTAAACTCCTGTTCCTCCAAATGGGAATAATGAACTCTCCGTAGGAGGATCATTGTGAGAATTAACCACTAATGTATGTAAAACCCTCAGCCCCTCCCCACAGCCATGCCACCTCTAGAACTATTGATGCTGGCAGAGCATCTGTCCATGTGTTAAGAAGATGAAATTGGGGTAAACCAGCCCCTTCCATTATAACAAGATGAGTAGGAATCCCAGCTGGTGCTTCAGCTCTTGGTTCAAATATTTCTTCACCTCAAATACAATGTGTTAGCTGCTGCACATGGTACTCTCACACATATTATCATGTTTAACTCTAGTCACCCAGTGAGGTAAATAGGGTGTGATTTCATGTGCAAGTGGCGGAAAAAGTGTTTGTGATTCAGGCTGAGGTTTGGGACTCTATTGCTTAACAGCAGATCCACATATGCAAAAGCATTTTCAATGAGTCATTCCCTTTAAGTCACAGTTTAAAAATACCTGGCAGCGTATGGGCTAATGTTACATCACGGACTAGGTCTGTTGCTCTTGGCTTTCCAGTTCCCTGCACACTCTGCTCAGCTCTTGGCTGCTTCTAATGTTTCTGAAAAAAGAGAATGTGGAATGAGCAGGTGTTATAATATGACATCATCTAAATTCCTAGCTTGCTTCTTTCACTGCAGATTTGTTACTCTTGGTTATGTGGGTTTGTAAAGATCATAGATCCCAAATTGTGACATTCATTTAGCACATCTCAGTGATCGTAGGTATGTGTCAGGTGGAAGTACTTCTGTCGTAGCTGGTAGGCGACAAAGAAGAGGCGATATTTGACCAAAGACACCAGCCAAATATGATGAGTTTGAAGGGTGAAAAAGAAAAGGGGCATGTTGAGAGTGTGATGGGACAGGTACATAGAGGAAGGACGTAAATAACGTCACTGCAGCAGACTGTAAGTGTTGGTTGCAAGGCCTAATGTGTCAGTCAAGTGGAGCATGTTATGATGAGGCCAGAGATGGTGATGGCTGTCAGAATGGCTGGTACAGAGGCAGGTTACAGTGCCCAGGAAGGCAAAAGATGTCTTTGACCAGGGCCACTTTGCCTTACAGTTTGTAATTGAACATGTTCTGCTTGCCGTGGGTTATGTTCTCTTTACTGATGAGGTGAGTGACTGATAATGTTGGTGCAAATGACAGGTATTCACTAAAAACAAGAAGTTGGTGCCATCAAAATCCTGAAGTCATGTGTGCTTTAATTAGAGGCTGCAGTGTATAAAGAAATTAATGAACTTGAAGCAAAGAATGTTGGCTTCTGTCATTTGGCTTCTGTATTTATAAAATTCTGCATGCCTGGTTGCACTGTAGGGCAATTAAATCAGAAGTCCCCTAAGTAATTCGGATGTGCTGCCAAGGTTGAACCACACTACTCCAAAGGAAGTCTTCATTTTTTGCCTGTCTCTTTCTAAAAATATTAACCTTGTCTGGTACATTAGTGTATGTCTGTAAATCCTACCCACTCCATAGGCTGAGGAAGGGCTATCATTTGAACTCAGAAACTTGAGATTAGCTTGGGCAAAATACTGAGTCCCTGGCTGGTCAGGGGAAAGTTAACTTTCTTAGAAATATAATTTAGAAGTATAGTAAATCTATTTGGAAGTTTCTTAAAGATATCAGCTGCTGACAATATTATGAGATCGTAGTTGGCTTCATATTGGACCCAGATTAGACTAGATTAGACTGGATACTGCTGACTTTTCTTTGTCTGATAATTGAGAAATTATGGGCATAATAGATCAAACGAAAGGAAAGGAATAGTAGTTTGAATAGTAGTTTTCAGAGGCAGTTGCTGTACTGCAGGGAATGTGGGCATGATTGAATCATGAGTAGGAGTTTTTAGCAACTTTTTCTTTTAGTAATTCTGTCTTTTTAAAACTCGTTAAGTAGAGCCCTGAGGTCTGTTACTGAAGTTGTTCTTGCTGGCAATAATGAAAGAGTCCTATAATCAGTATGGTACTTGTTGGAGAATCTCTTGAAGATAATCAGAGCTGAGGGGAAAAGCCCAGGGTACTGATGGTGATGAAGAGGAAGAAGCTGTGAAAGTGTTACCTAGCCGAGTATAAGCCTTAGCTAGTCAAGATGTCAGTCCTTGAAGATGATCTGACTGTCTCACTGTACCACGATGTATAACATTGTGTATTAGGACATTTTGGTTAAGTAAAATCTTTTTCTATTCATTGAAAAAGTGAGTTGACAAAATCCAAAACAGTTGGCAAGGATATAGAGCAACAGGAACTATTCATTCATTGCTGAGGAAATGTAACAGTACATCAACTTTGGAAGACAGTTTAGCAGTTCTTTATAAAACTAAATGAACTTATCATCTGATCTAACAATCACATTCCTTGGTATTTACTCAAATGCTCTGAAATTTCACATCTATATAAAACCTTCACATGAATGACAATAGCACCTTTATTTATAATTACCCAAACTTGGAGACAACATAGTCTTTCAGTAGGTGAATGAGTAAGCAAGTTACAGTACATCCAAACACGAATATTTCAGGACTAAAGAGAATGAGCTGTTAGACTATGGAATTGAAGGAATCTTAAATACACATTATCAAGTCAAAGAAAAGTCTTATGTCCATATTACAATCTGAAAGGCAATAACTGACCTTTCTTACTGTCTCTGTGGTTTAGTCTTTTCAGAATTTTATATAGTAAGTAGCTTACAGGATTTTTAGAGCAGCTAAAATATTCTACATGGTACTACAGTGGTGGGTACATTATGTATTTGTTGTTAAAACTCCTATCATATACAACACTGAGAGTGGAACTTGGATGGACTTTGGATGATAGTGTAGGTTTATCAGTTGTAACAAGTACGCTGATCTGGTAACAGAGATTGATGGTGGGAGAGGCTGTGTGTATGTGTGTGTTGTGGTAGGGGCTATGTGGGAACTCTGTACTATTCATAAATAAGTTGGAAGCCAGGTATAGTGACATGCACATATAATTCTAATAGTCTGAAGGCTAATGTAATAGAATTACTAGTTTTAGGCCAGCTTGGGCTACATAACAAGATCCTGTCTCAAAAAAAACCAGAACAACTAAGACTAACCCAAACTTCCAAGAACAAGCAAACAAATTGGAAAACTCCATTATTATACTGTGAGCTATAACCATGTAGCTTTGTGCCTGTAGCCCATGGGATATACTAAAATACGAATGATCACCATTCTTTATTGCTTTTTGTGAAATTACTTTGTTTGTTAAAAATTTTTTATTGTAAAGATACTATACAGAGGGTTACAGTTACATGAGCAAGGTAATGAGTACACTTCCTATTGAGCATTGTTACCCCCCCCATTGTTTTCCCCCTACCATCCCTTCCCTCCCTACCTTCCCCGAGGTTCTTTTTTTTTAAATTGTGATTAAGTGATTACATAATTTCCCAAATTTCACAGTATTGTGGAATAATGATGCTCATTTAAAGTCACAAGTTCATTCTAACTTTCCTGGAGCAAATTGTCTATCACGGTCTATAACATATAATGGTGTACACATATACACCATACCTGTGATCAGCAGCATGGGGATATTTAGTAGTGGTTCGACCAGATGAGTGGGAGTTCTTTGTTTCTTAAGTCCTGTTAATTTTGTCGTATGTGAAATTACTTTGTAATGTGGCCATTGTACTGCGATATGTTTATCAGAACTGTTAATAGTTAGTTTGTTGAATAAAAATCTTTCTGAAGAATCAACTAAAGCAGTTAAGCAGTTTGTACCATGTGTGCTTGCAGTACAGAAGTAGTTTTTAGTTCTTAGTGGTATACAGTGCTCTTTTGATTTTTGACTACTTCAATGTTTGTAAAAGTTCAAGAATTTCTACTGGGACCACATTTAATTTCTCTAACATTTCTTTTTCATGACTTTTGATTTTCTCTTCCTGGTTTGTGTTTTGTAGAACTGTTAACTCCCACTGACTGGATCTGCTTGGTTCTTGGGACTTCTTGGGTCTAGCCTAACACTTCCCTCACCCCATATTTTAAGAGAGAAGAACCCAGCATTGAAGCTCTGATCCTCTTCTTGAGGGTCAGAGCGAGTTTTGCTATAATAATATTTACTATAGTAAAAGACAGGACTTTGGTTCATAGTATATTGAAAGTTCTACCCCAAATTTGGTGTTGGTTGCTTAAGAAAGCTGTTTATGAAACATGCTTTAATGTGGACAGATGTAAGAAGCAGAAAAGCACCAGAAGAAAATACTCTAAATTTACTTACCCTAAAGCAATTCTAGCAACTCCATTCTTATTTATTTATATAGAGCCTCTATGAGTTCTTTTGTAATCAGTGTTTAATCACTTATGGGTATTGTTTCCATGTCTTTCCAAGTCAAATAGAGATCTGTAAAACATTTTTCTTGTGTTGTAGTTTACTGCTATATTATAGTTTATGTAACCAATCACATTTTCTTTTACTTTAAAAAATATAAACAAGGATCAACATCTGTATTTTTGTATATTTTTCTCCCAGAATAAAGTCCTAAAAGTGAAATGAATAACCTTAAGTGAATTTGGAAATGAGTCTTAGTGGCTCAAATTTTCCTTGGCTTTGAACCATGATCCTCAGATCTTAGCCTCTTGAGTAGTTAGGATTATAGACATGAGACACCAGCACCCAGCTGGAAGTAATATTTAAGAACTCCGAGTGTTTCTAGAAGCTTTGTGGTTAGCCTGGTGGCTTGGTCAGTTTGAGACACATCTGGGGTGGAGCAGAATGTAGCAGGTTCTTATCTCTGTGTCTGGCTTTGAACTTACTGAATTGCTGGGGTTAGGCTAATTTAGAACAAACTCTTCTGTTGTTGCAGATAACAGAATGGCTCCAAAGGTGACTTCGGAGCTGCTTCGGCAGCTGAGACAAGCCATGAGGAACTGCGAGTATGTGGCAGAACCCATCCAGGCCTATATCATCCCGTCGGGAGATGCCCACCAGGTACAGAGGAGAGAGGGGCTGAAGAAGGAACTCACCAGCCTTCTTCCTTTTCGGTCTTCCTTTGAGCCATATGTATCCATGGAGTTCTAGTTGTCAACCCAAAGAATTCTCGTTGCCCCTTTTAAGAGCTCTGTCTCATTGTGTGCCTATAGTTTTGGTCCCTACTGCTTTGTTTCCAATGAATCTGCCCAGTTTTCAATCAATGGGGAGAGAATTAGTAGACAAATTTACAGGTAGAAATCCTGGGCCTTTCTGATACTGATACATTCCATGTCATTTCCCCCTATAATCCCCCTTTTCTTCCTTCTCTTCCTCCCTTCTGCCCACCTAGCTGTTCCCATCCTTCCGACATGGCTAGAGGTCCACCCAACAGTAATTAAGGATACTATGATAACTGCCACTATCTCTTTAGAACCAACTCAGCAATTTCCCTTTCCTTCTGAGAGCAGCAGTTATCTTAGTGGAGGGAAGTTGTGATTGGAGAACGAGACAGTCCGTGGTAGGGCTAAAGGGCAGGCGGATAAGCAGGTCCTACACCCACTGTAGGGTCATCCAATTGAATTGAGGGCCTACACTGTGTTTATGGCACTGTAGGGTTACAAAGGTGAATTTAAGATTGGATTCCTACTCCCACTAAGGTTTACTGAGACAAAATAATATACGAAGTATTATGCTTCTGTAGAGACATGCATATGTACATTTGTTCCAACCTTTTGCTTATGTGCAGGTTACTACCTTAGATACTGTACATGATACAAAGATGAGAATTGTTCCTGGTGGGAAAAAGCACTCAAGTGGAGTTTAGATGTGCAAACACATATCCATATTACTAGGTAGAGTGGGGTAACTGCTATTAAGAAAATTTGGACAGGGGCTGTGGAAGTTTGAGGACTGGATAGAAGGATAATGGAGAGTGAGGGGCAGGAAGGTGCTCTGAACTAAACCTTGAAGGATGGGTAGAGTTTAGATAAACAGCGGTGAGGGGTTGGAGGAGAAAGAAGAGGAGGGAAGGGGTTCCAGGTGGGAGGATTGGTAGGAGGAAAGGCAGAGAAACAGGAAGCTTGGAATGCTTAAAGAATCAGTGTTAAGTTTCCCCAAATCCTGAGCTAAATCCCACTAAAAACCAATTTCAAGCATGAGGCTGTTGCTGAGGCCGATATGACTGTAACCATCTTCTCCCAGGATGGTTGCACCTGCTACTGGAGCCCCTGGTGTGGCTGTTCTCTACTTCCTAGCACTTTGTCTGAGATGGAGACATCCTGTGAAAGGGGTTTGCAGGCTCTCTTAAAGTCCTAGCTTAAAGATTTCTCAAGGCCCTACTTCATTTATGAACCTTACCTTCAGAA